GTGACTACAAAAGAAACAATAATGTTTGATTGTTAGTCTAGATAAAAGAGGACACTAAACTCACTTGATTTGATATGATCTGATCTGAACTCTACAAATTTTGTACAATCAAATTAACAAATTGTTTTGAGTTTTGATTAAGAATTGGCTAGATCACTCCCAAACAGACTCATTATAGGATAAGATTAGACATATATTATAAGATGAAATTATATACACACTTTTTTTATCATTTAAACTCAAAATTAGTTATTGAAATTGCATTTTTTACCCATTCCATTGGATTTGAAAGATTCAAATCGGGTTGATACCTGAACAAAAGGGTTGCCCCGGTGGATAAGGAATATGTTACCTAGCTCATTGATAGATAGGTGAAGGTTTTTGGTTGGGTAGGGGAGGGAGTCCTTGGGATCGAAGCTGGGACCATGAGTCATTACTTAAGCAAATCCAAAAATAAAGTTAGACCTGGCCGACTAAACGAAATGTACATGTGAAATTCATTTTAAGTGTAGATATATATTGTTGATCATATGGTGTAGCAATGGAAGTCGTTTACCTACCAAATGATAAAAGGACCACACAAATAGAGGAATCAATGGAATCATCATTACCACTTGATGTCTTAGATTTATGATGATTAAATTCAACAATTATATAGTAAAAAAAAAAAAAAAGGTGCATTTACCACTGTGTAACATCAAAAACAAAGAATGGGAAATTGTTCAACTCATATAACACATTCAAACCACACGTATGAGCTTGGATATATGCAACTTTATGGTCTGACTTTTGGGTTATAATGTATTTCTTTAAGGGTACATTACACTTTGCCCCTTATTTTTTTTTCTCACTTTAATCTTTAAAATATGTAATTATTTTCAATTTGCATCAACAACAAATGTCCATATAAAATTGTACAAAAATTTAGTCGCCAAAAATGCTTTTTCTTGTAGTGACGTCTCTCGAATTTATGGTGTAATAGAAAAAAAATATAATATTTTAAGTATCAATGTGACAAAAAATATAGTAATACTCAAAAGGTTAATATGAGAAATTACTAATTTTAATTCTATGGTTGTCCTTAAGTTTGAGTTGAATAAGATATCATGTCACAAACTGATATCACATGATATTGGCATGACATTTTTCTATCTAATTTGAGATAAACATTAGTTATTGGTCTAAATTAAAAAGAATTACATACCTTGAGAACCAAAAGTTTAAAAAAATAGTAATAATAAAAATTAAAAATTAAAGTTAAAATAATTTAGGAGCGACAAAATGAAATTGCCCTTTGGTTAAAGGATGTATGCACACATATGTAAATGGCCTATCTTTCGGCTTAAAGTAAACTTTCTTTTGATTGTTTTTGATGCTCATAATTAGTCCTACCCAAATATTAACACATTAACCAGTTTAGGTATGTATTGATAATGATCCAAAACTGTCCATTTTGATTTTATGATACCATAGTATACATGATTTACGGGTTTATGTTTTATAGGTACACTTGAAAATAGTCCATTCCCTTGTCCTAGAAGATTGATAGGTTAAATATCAATATTTTATATATTAGGCAATGAGAATAACTAATGTCACTAATTCACCAATCAAAAAGTTGGATTTTTTTTCATAGTTTGTCTGCAATAATCTTGTCTTTTTTGTCATAACAAGACATATAAATAAAATAGAAATTTTAATGGTTTGAGTTAAAATTGAAAGAAAATGATATCAAAAAATCTATCTTTTTTTTTTTTTTTTTTTTTTTTTTTTTTTTTTTTTTTCATTTTGCTGCTTGTCCCACATTGATTTATTATGAATTTCTTACACCTTTTATATGTAGACCTTTGTTATTGAGTAAGGGCCAAGAATGTGGTGGAGACTTTGTAAACTTTGGGCCATATGTGTGAAGGCCATATATATATATGTTTTTATTCTCTTTTTTTTCTCATTGATTTTTTGTAAGATTGATTTCTTTTTATAATTAACTATGATTAACTAGCCATTTCATAATTCAAGTGATTTTGATTAATTTATAATTAATGGAATTTGTTTGATCAAATCCTTGACTCATTTCTTTGCCCCTTATTTTTTTCCCCCTCACTCTAATCTTTAAAATATGTAATTATTTTCAATTTGCATCGACAACAAATGTCCATCTAAAATTGTACCAAAACTTTCATGTCTGTGTCAGGTCTCTCGAATTTATGGTGTAATAGAAAAAAAATATAATATTTTAAGTATCAATGTGACAAAAAATATAGTAATATTTGAAAGGTTATTGTGAGAAATTACAGATTTTAATTCTATTGTTGTCCTTAAGTTTGTGTCGAATAAGATATCACACGTCACAAACTGATATCACATGATATTGACATGACATTTTTCTATCTAATTTGAGATAAACACTAGTTATTGGTCTAAATTAAAAAGAATTACATTCCTTGAGAACCAAAAGTTTAAAAAAATAGCAATAATAAAAATTTAAAAATAAAGTTAAAATAATTTAGGAGCGAGAAAGTGAAATTGACCTTTGGTTAAACGATGCGTGCACACATATGTAAATGGCCTATCTTTCGGCTTAAAGTAAACTTTCCTTTGATTGTTTTTGATGCCCATAATTAGTCCTACCCAATTATTAACACATTAACCAGTTTAGGTATGTATTGATAATGATCCAAAACTGTCCATTTTAATTTTGTGATACACTAGTGAAGGTAAATGATTTACGGGTTTATGTTTTATAGGTACACTTGAAAATAGTCCATTCCCTTGTCCTAGAAGTTTGATTGGTTAAATATCAATATTTTATATATAGGCAATGAGAATAACTGCTGTCACTAATTCACCAATGAAAAAGTTGGATTTTTTTCGTAGTTTGTTTGTAATAATCTTCTGTCTTTTTTGTCATAACAAGACATATTAATAAAATAGAAATTTTAGTGGTTTGAGTTAAAATTGAAATAAAATGATATCAAAAAAATGCTCTATTTTTTTATTTGTTTTTGGTCATTTTGCTCCTCGTCTCACATTGATTTCTTATTAATTTCTTACACCTTTTATATGTAGACCTTCGTTAATGAGTAATGGCCAAGAATCTGGGGAGAATATGTAAACTTTGGGCCATATTTCTGAAGTCCATATATTTTTTTATATATGTTTTTTATTCTCATTGATTTTTTGTAAGACTCATTTCTTTTTATATTTAACTATGATTAAGGAATTTACTAGCGATTTCATAATTCAAGGGAATTTGATTGATTCATAATTCAAGGAATTTGTTTCATCAAATCCTTAATTCATTTCTTTGCCCCTTATTTTTTTTCCTCACATTAATCTTTAAAATATGTAATTATTTTCAATTTACATCAACAACAAATGTCCATCTAAAATTGTACCAAAACTTTCATGTCTGTGTCACGTCTCTCGAATTTGTGGTGTAATAGAAAAAAAAAATATAATTTTTTAAGTATCGATGTGACAAAAAATATAGTAAAACTTAAAAAGTTATTGTTAGAAATTATTAATTTTAATTCTATTGTTGTCCTTAAGTTTGAGTCGAATAAGATATCACACGTCAAAAACTGATATGACATGATATTGACATGACATTTTTCTATCTAATTTGAGAAAAACCTTAGTTATTTGTCTAAATTAAAAAGAACTACATACCTTGAGAACCAAAAGTTTAAAAAAATAGTAATAATAAAAATTAAAAATCAAAAAGTTAAAATAATTTAGGAGAGAAAAATGAAATGGACCTTTGGTTTAACGATGCGTGCACACATACGTAAATGGCCTATCTTTCGGCTTAAAGTAAACTTTCCTTTGATTGTTTTTGATGCCCATAATTTGTCTTACCAAAATATTAACACAGTAACCAGTTTAGGTATGGATTGGTAATGAGCCAAAACTATCCATTTTGATTTTGTGATACCCTAGTGAAGATACATGATTTACGAGTTTATGTTTTATAGGTACACTTGAAAATAGTCCATTCCCTTGTCCTAGAAGACTGTTTGGTTAAATATCAATATTTTATATATTAGGCAATGAGAATAACTAATGTCACTAATTCACCAATCAAAAAGTTTGATTTTTTTTCGTAGTTTGTGTACAATAATCTTGTGTCTTTTTTGTCATAACAAGACATATTAATAAAATAGAAATTTTAATGGTTCGAGTTAAAATTGAAAAAATGATATCATAAAAACAATCTAATTTCCCCCCCCCCCTCATTTTGCTCCTCGTCCCACATTGATTTCTTATTAATTTCTTACACCTTTTATATGTAAACCTTTGTTATTGAGTAAGGGCCAAGAATGTGGGGAAGACTATGTAAACTTTGGGTTATATGTCTGAAGTCCATATATTTATATATATATGTTTTTGTTTCTCTTTTTTTTTTATTATTTTTTGTCAGATTCATTTCTTTTTATATTTAACTATGATTAAAAATTAACTAGCCATTTCATAATTCAAGGGATTTTGATTGATTTATAATTCAAGGAATTTGTTTGATCAAATCCTTGATTCATTTCCTTGCCCCTTATTTTTTTTCCTCACATTAATCTTTACAATATGTAATTATTTTCAATTTGCATCAACAACAAATGTCCATCTAAAATTGTACCAAAACTTTCATGTCTGTGTCACATCTCTCGAATTTATGGTGTAATAGAAAAAAAATGTAATATTTTAAGTAACAATGTGGCAAAAAATATAGTAATACTTAAAAGGTTATTGTGAGAAATTACTAATTTTAATTCTATTGTTGTCCTTAAGTTTGAGTCGTATAAGATATCACATGTCACAAACTGATATCACATGATATTGACATGACATTTTTCTATCTAATTTGAGATAAACCTTGGTTATTGGTCTAAATTAAAAAGAGTTACATACATTGAGAAGCAAAAGTTTGAAAAAACTGTAATTATAAAAATTAAAAATTAAAGTTAAAATAATTTAGTAGAGGGAAAATGAAATTGACCTTTGGTTCAATGATGCGTGCACACATGTAAATGGCCTATCTTTCGGCTTAAACTAAACTTTTCTTTGATTGTTTTTGATGCCCATTATTAGTCCTACCCAAATATTAACACATTAACCAGTTTAGGTATGGACTGATTGTGATCCAAAACTGTCCATTTTGATTTTGTGATACCCTAGTGAAGATATATGATTTACGGGTTTATGTTTTATAGCTACACTTGAAAGTAGTCCATTCCCTTGTCCTAGAAGATTTATTGGTTAAATATCAATATTTTATATATTAGGCAATGAGAATAACTAATGTCACTAATTCACCAATCAAAAAGTTTATTTTTTTTTTCATAGTTTGTCTACAATAATCTTGTGTCTTTTTTGTCATAAGAAGACATATTAGTAAAATATAGATTTTAATGGTTCGAGTTAAAATTGAAAGAAAATGATATCAAAAAATCGCGCTATTTTTTTTTTTTTTTTTTTAATTTTGCTCCTTGTCCCACATTGATTTCTTTTTAATTTCTTACACCTTTTATATGTAGATCTTTGTTAATGAGTGGGGCCAAGAATGTGGTGGAGACTTTGTAAACTTTGGGCCATATGTGTGAAGTCCATATATATATATATATGTTTTTTTTTCTCACTGATTTTTTGTAAGATTCATTTCTTTTTATAATTAACTATGATTAAGGAATTAAGTAGCCATTTCCTAATTCAATTGATTTTGATTAATTTATTATTAATGGAATTTGATTGATCAAATCCTTGATTCTTTTCTTTGCCCCTTAATTTTTTTTTCCTCACTTTAATATTTAAAATATGTAATTATTTTCAATTTGCATCAACAACAAATGTCCCTCTAAAATTGTACCAAAACATTCTTGTTTGTGTCACATCTCCCGAATTTATGGTGTAATGTAACAAAAAATATAATATTTTATGTATCAATGTAACAAAAAATATAATAATACTTAAAAGGTTATTGTGAGAAATTACTAATTTTAATTCTGTTATTGTCCTCAGGTTTGTGTCGAATAAGATATCACATGTCACAAACTGATATTACATGATATTGACATGACATTTTTCTATTTAATTTGAGGTAAACCTCAGTTATTGGTCTAAATTAAAAATAATTACATACCTTGAGAATCAAAAGTTTAAAAAAATAAAAAGTTAAATTTAAAGTTAAAATAATTTAGGAGAGAGCCAATGAAATTGCCCTTTGGTTAAACGTTGCGTGCACACATATGTAACTGGCCTATCTTTCGACTTAAAGTAAACTTTCCTTTTATTGTTTTTGATGCCCATAATTAGTCCTACCCAAATATTAACACATTAACCAGTTTAGGTATGTACTGATAATGATCCAAAACTATCTATTTTGATTTTGTGATACCCTAGTGAAGATACATGATTTATGGGTTTATGTTTTATAGCTATACTTGAAAGTAGTCCATTCCCTTGTCCTAGAGGATTGATTGGTTAAATATGAATATTTTATATATTAGGCAATGAGAATAACTAATGTCACTAATTCACCAATCAAAAAGTTGGATTTTTTTTCATAGTTTGTCTGCAATAATCTTGTGTTTTTTTTGTCATAACAAGACATTAATAAAATATAAATTTTTATGGTTCGAGTTAAAATTGAAAGAAAATGATATCAGAAAATCTATCTAATTTTTTTTTTAAAATTTTTTCTTCATTTTGCTCCTTGTCCCACATTGATTTCCTATTAATTTCTTACACCTTTTATATGTAGACCTTTGTTATTGAGTAAGGGCCAAGAATGTGGTGGAGACTTTGTAAACTTTGGGCCATATGTGTGATCTACATATATATATATATATGTTTTTATTCTCTTTTTTTTATTCTCATTGATTTTTTATAAGATTCATTTGTTTTTATAATTAACTATGATTAAGGAATTAACTAGCCATTTCAGAATTCAATTGATTTTGATTAATTTATAATTAATGGAATTTGTTTGATCAAATCCTTGATTCATTTCTTTGCCCCTTATTTTTTTTCCCATCACTTTAATCTTTAAAATATGTAATTATTTTCAATTTGCATCAACAACAAATGTCCATCTAAAATTGTACCAAAACTTTCATTTCCGTGTCAGGTCTCTCGAATTTATGGTGTAATAGAAAAAAAATGTAATATTTTAAGTATCAATGTGACAAAAGCTATAGTAATACTTAAAAGGTTATTGTGAGAAATTACTAATTTTAATTGTATTGTTGTCCTTAAATATAGCGACCCCGGTCTTTTCCCATTTGACTATTGTGTCCGGACATAGGTTCCGTAGATTCTGTCATTGTATAATTGTTGTTGTTGTCCCTTATTTTCTCATTTGGAATTATAGGATGTGTTGGGCAGGTTTGTTTCATCAATATTTTATATATTAGGCAAT